AGTACACATTTTTCCCACTAGGAAAGCATCAAGCAAACTTGCTCTGAGTTAGTGCACCCAGTGGTGTCAACTGGGAAAGTTCTCTTTGATCACAGTGATTTTTCCCCCCCCAAAAGCAGTTTCCCATAAACCTTGTTTTTTGTGATGACCAATTTAAGAAAACAGCATGTGGCTGTGAAGTTTTGTTTCCTGCTTGGGAAAAATGCCGCAGAAACTATTGTGATGTTGAACACAGCTTTACAAGGACAGCGCTGTGGGAAAAACTCAAGTATACGAGTGGTTTTCGTGTTTCAGAAAAGGTGAAATATTGATTGATGACAGGCCTTGTTCTGGATTTCCAGTCAACTTCCCGAACAGACGAAAATGTCGACTCATAGTGCATTTGGAGTTCGTTCCTCCAGGTCATACTGTTAATCAAGCTTTCTATTTAGAGGTTCTGAAAAGATTGAGTAACAGTATGCAAGTGTGGGAGTGGGATCCTAATTTGTGACAGATGGGGGACTGGTTTTGCCACCACAACAATGCACCTGCTCACACAGCCATCTCAGGGCACCAGTTTTTGGCAAAAAAGAGCATGTCTATCTTGCCCCACACACCTTACTCACCTGACCTCGCTCCTTGTGACAAATCCAGAGACACTCATATGTGCATAAAAAAGAGCTTTATATAAAAGAGCAATTGTATATTGAGAAAACATCCCAGATCAAGTCCGTAACTTCAATATTAGCCCATATGTCCAATACCAATCTACAAATTCCTCTTCAAACTCACGAAACACATGCAATAATGCCTAATGCAGGAAGATCACAGGCCAGTGGGTAGAAAGTCTTGTGGATCCGGTCGAGGTGGAAGCATCTCAGCGCTGGCAGGGGTCTCTATGTGGCTTCTTTAGCTCCAGGGCACTAGCGTAGCTCCATGTGTCTTGTTAGCAGGAATGTCTTCTAGGGAGTGAGTGTGTGTCCCACCTCCAGCAAGCTATTTATCTCCTCATGCCTCCAAATGAAGTCATCAAGCTGCAACCCGAGTGAAAGGCTAAACTCCACCCCTTCACGCTTAAGTTTCAAGTTGGCAACAGATTATGTAACTATGACAGCCATCCAAATAGATGAGTTTGAAAAGTGTTTCCAAGAATGGAATCATAGGTTTGACAAATGTATTAAATGTAATGGAGAGTACTTTGAAGGTGATGTTTGTTTTGTATAAAAAATTTAAATACTTGACTTTGGGGAAACAAAAATCCGTTTTTTGGGGTGGGTACCTCCTCATATAGCTATTTTATTTTTATCACGATTACCTTGCTGATGGTTTAAGTTTGGAGACCTGTTTAACTAAAGCTGAATGTTCTTTGCTCTCCTTTGACATCCTGTTTTTCAGGATGGCATACTTTAATAGTATCCCGGATACTTTATTCAAAAAGAATCAGAGTAGGATCCTCTAGACCAGTGGTTCTCAACCTTCCTAATTCTGCGCCTCTTTAATAAAGTCCCTCATGTTGTGGTGACCCCCCCAACCATAAAATTATTTTCGTTGCTACTTCATAACGGTAATTTTGCTGCTGTTATGAATCAAGCGACCCCTGTGAAAGGGTCGGTCGACCCCCAGATTGAGAACTGCTGCTCTAGACGGAAGACTGAGAAGGAAGCCTGGCAGATCTAGAGAATCTAGGAGCCTGGTTTCACACTGCAGAAACAGTGCTGACTGGGCGAATGCAGACATCACAGAGCCCAGGACAGTGCAGTTTTTATGGGCATAATGTGCTACACTTAGAAATTTGGTAATTTACTTTGTTTTCAGTAGGCTCCCGTAGGAAATTAAAATGCTTCCTTTACTGAGAAGCCAATGTGCTTAAAGAGAAAAGCACAACTCCATCCACCGGGTTCAGTGTCAGAGACTTTGAAACAAAAATGGAATATACATTTTTAGGGTTATTGCAAAGCCTGTCTAAAACCCAAACCAATATTTAGAAGACGTCTTATAGAAGAGCATCTGAGGTGAACGAGTCCGCTGAACAGAACACAGACCTGAGGGTCAGGAGGCTACTTCGGAGCCGCTGGTAGTTAGGCAACTGAGGTGACTCATGTAACCTCTTTGGACCTTGGCTCGGGTATCTGTAATATGGTGATAACAGAAATGCTTGTTCTGTCTTCCTCCCATCTTCCTCACTTCCAGGATTCTTGATAGGAGGATTTAGTGTTAAAAAGGAACCCTGGTGGCGTTAGTGGGTTAAGCATTAGGCATCTTACACGGAGTCATTGGTTCACACCCACCAGCCCCTCTACTGGACAAAGATGAGGCAGTTCTAACTCCATAGTGATTTACAGCATTGGAAACCCTTGGAAGTAGTTTTACTCTGTCCTACAGGGTTACTATGGACTTGAATCACCTCGAAGGCAATGAGTGAGTAGGTGTGAAAATAAATATGAGACCCCCTTTGTAAGTTGTAAAACCTGTACAAATATTACTTGTTTTAGTGATTCTCAGGTTTTCAACAATAGTAAAAGTCTAATGGGACTTTTAATCATGTTACGTGTTGCAGTTATCTGAATACCTATACTTAGTTATTTATTAAGCAATAAAGTGAAATCAGTTGAATTTGATAAGCTTTTAATGGAATATTTTCTCCCAGCCCTTTAGTTCTTACAATGTTTTTTATTGGTTTAACAAAGGCAGGCATTGTTTCAGCCTGGCTTTGTCTTTCTTAGGTGGTACTTCGTGGAAATAATTCCTAAATTTCTCATGGAAATCAGCTGTACAAAGAATACAAAGGTGCATTCTTGTGATTAGGAGAGTCGCCTCCTGAGGACACACTAGCTTTCCTGCTGTGGGGCTGACCAGCAGAGGGTGCCCATGCTCTCCTTGCTGCTGACTTCAGCTTCTGGGCTGGGCCAGCCTGATCTGTGCCACCCATCTGTGTTTGCCTCTGATGATTAACAAGAACTATACTCTAATAGAAGGGATTCTGGCACATCAGAGACATAGTTACCAAATGGAACAGGAGAGCAGACATACTGTCAAACAGCTGTGCACCAACAACCTGCCATCGTAGGCAAGTAGGATATCTCTGGATAACTAGAATTTGCCACCGTGGGGTGGATCATTTGCTTGTTTTCCACCTCCTTCTCCGGCACTTCCCCCCCTCCCCCCCATTTCTTTTTCTACAAGGTTCTTTGCTCCACCTTTTCAGCATCAACAGCCATCTTCCTCACCTGGTTTAACATATCACTTTCTTTTTTTTTTTAATCATTTTATTAGGGGCTCATACAACTATCACAAACCATACACACATCAATTGTGTAAAGCGCATTTGTACATTCATTGCCCTCATCATTCTCAAAACATTTCCTCTCCACTTAAACCCCCAGCATTAGGTCCTCATTTTCCCCTCCCTCCCCGCTCCCCCGTCCCTCATGAGCCCTTGATAATTTATAAATTGTTATTTTGTTCTATCTTGCCCTGTCCGATGTCTCCCTTCACCCACTTTTCGGTTGTCCGTCCCCCAGGGAGGAGGTCACATATAGTTCCTTGTAATCGGTTCCCTCTTTTCCTACAGGACCAGTGGTGTGAGTGGCGATACAGGGAGGGTAGAGGGAAAGTGGGTAGGAAAGAGGGAACATATCACTTTCTAAAGTAGCCTTCTACTGGATCATCATCCTAGACCCAGCCAGTCTCAGCACCATGTCTGGGATCCATTTGACAGGCTGTTTGAGGTTCAACAGCATCTTTTCCTCTATGTAAACCTCTATGTAAACGGGTGATGGCCAGAAGCCTTGAAACCTTTCTAGTGCACTTACTGCCCACACCATCCTTTTCCTCTTCCCCCCTCTAGCATGGGTCCTTTAGCCTCCTTGTGTAGGCAGTTAGTTGGTATAAAAACCACAAGCAAAAATCCAACCAAACCCTTAGCAATTCTGACTCCTAGGAGCCCTATAGAACAGAGATATCTTTCCATGCCAAGAATTTAGGTCCTAAGAAGATTTTAAACTGGCTATATATTTTTCCTGTACATGGATGGGATGTATAATCACTTATTTTGTTAATCCTCTAAAGATGAGATTTCGATTGTGTGGGGTTTTCAGTATAATGTTTAAGCATTGCTGTGACAGATCCTTAGTGTGTCTCCTGATTATATTCTTAGGGTATATTCCTAGAAATGGTAGTTTTCCTCCTCTTTTTCTCTTTAGGAATCTTGTCACTTCCCTCAGGAAAGCTCTCCCACGCCAGTGCCCCTCAGTAAGAGAGGATGCCTGTGGCAGCACACCGCTGCCATGTTTCATCTTTGCCGAACCAGCAGTGGGAGAGTGAGCTCACTCCTGCTGGACAATTGATGGGCTTTCCAATGTCCACGTCACCTCCGATAGCTAACTGAAGGCCGTGGCTCTTAGACGTCTTTGTCTCCGGCCACCTTGACAAGTTGAGATATTAGAGTTGTTCGCCCACTTGTTTACATGGCTCGTATTTATAAATGTTTACTCTGTTAGGTATACTAGGAAATGTTAAAATTCTTTACTGAATTTTAAAATTGCAATAATAAATCTATTGTGTATTATTAGCATGAGTAATGTTTTTATAGAAAGGCCTTTTCCAAAAGAAAAAGATGAGTTAGAACAGTGGTATTGGTTTACGTTTTAATGTCTGTTTAATGTTTCGCTTACAAGAAGATGGCCAGATTCTCATATCTGCTTTTGCATTAAGTGAATGGTGATATATTGTTCTGGCTGGGGTAGGTGAAGCAAGTCTGATCTCAGACAGATATCTGAGGGTGTTTCACAAAGTTTGTAGAAAAATGAAAGAAGGTCATGGAATTATTCCATGAAATTTTTGAAGCCTCCTTGTGTAGGCAGTTAGTTGGTAAGGGGAAGAGTACTTTAAGTCTCTGACAATGAAGTTGGATGTTTTCCTTCGATAGTACATCAAAATGCAGTAAGTGATTGTTTCTCTCTCTCTCTCTGTTTCCAAGGTTTATTCAAAGACTCGTAGAAAATATTCCCAAGAAGTGAGTTTTAATCCTTATCTTCTTCCTTTTCTTCATCCTGGTGAATCAGGAAATAACATAATTCGTCACTTTCTTTGCTGTTGGTGACCACACACAGCTAATCTCATAGATTCTTCTTCAGATATTTTTTGGTGAGATATTTCAAGTTCCTTTTGGAAAAAGGCACCTCAGAGGTTGCAGTAATCTTGCTCTTGCTTCTTTCAATGGTCATAGTCCCTCCACCCTGATGACCATTCACCTCGATTCTTTCTTGACGAAACTGCTCAAAACGGATCGCCTGCAGGATTCCATCTTCTGCAGGGTGGATGCAGTCAAGGATCGGCTTCAGACTTGCTGCTGCTGCTTAAAAAACTTTTTTTGGTAATAAATCATTTTTGCTTTTTTTTTTTTTTTTAACCTCTTCACTACAGGCTTTTTCATAGGTGCCATGGAGGCAGCCAGGTGCCAAGGGATTTCAGCAAACTACCAGGTGCTATTTTCTTGAAGATTAATCAATATGAAATCTGAAACCACATCCATTAACTCATTTTTTTCTTGGCAACAATCGTGACCATTGGTCTAGCTTCCCTTTGACTAGATCCTTACCCACGTATGACTTTATCATCTGGAGCATGTTGGTTTACTGTAGATTTCCCAACGTTGATACATTTCATTGTATTCTCATCAGAGTAGAGTTTGAGTATTTAGAAAGTTATTAACCTCACAGTAGAGAATCAAGTTTTCCAAAATTCCTTTTTTTGTTGTTGTTTTTTATTTTGCTTCAAAGCTTGAATTTTACCAGTGACAATCTCTGGCAAACTTCACTTGTTTTTGAGAAAATGCCAACACACTCCAGATAATAAAGTCATATGTGGGTCAGGATCTATTCAAAGGAAGCTATGTCCATGTAAAGTTGTTACTGCGGCATCAAAGATATGCTTACATGAAAGTGGCCTTTTCTTTTTCTGTGAGTGCTGAGGGTGTGACGGCCATTGGCACAGCTTGGCGCTACTGCCTTGATTGAGGCTAAGGTGCCATCAGCTTTACCCACGATCATCTGTGCATCCTCAGTACAGTTGTCAACCGGGAAGAAAAAGGACAGATAAGCTGCTGGTATACTGAACATAATTCTGACCTCCCTGATAAAGTCTCGGTGGTCTCCAAGGGTTCCACACTCAGAACTCGGCTTAGCTAATCTTAAGCAACCATTCCTTCACCAGAGATCAGTTTTAAGCGTAGGTTGTAACCACGCCTGGCTAGTGAAATTTCAGAGTAAGTCTGCTGAGGAGCATCTGAGAAAATTTGCTAATACTTTTTTTAAATTGTATTCATTTGATTGGGGGCTCATGCAACTCTTACCACAATCCATCCATCCATCCATTGTGTCAAGCACATTTGTGCATTTGTTGCCCTCATCATTCTCAAAACATTTTCTTTCTACTTGAGCTTCAAATTCTTAAAATGAGACATAGTAGCAAAGAGAGAGTCCTTTCTTCCTCCTGGATGTGCCAGGCCATTGTAATGCAGAGGGAACTTTTTTTCAGTTATGAAGGATAATAAATTCCCCTATATTATTTTAGTCAGGATAAAAAATATTTTTCGTTACTTGCAGTCAAAAGCATGCCCAAAGGACATTTCTCTCGTTATTAGTGCGATGGACATTTTTGAACGTGTAGTGGTCATTTGCATTTTCCTTATGAAAACTGTTCATAACCCTAGCCCAATATTCTCCATATTATTTCTTAAGCATTCTTTATATAGGCTTATTAAGGTCTAATTCTGGATCTTTAAAAGTTTAATCTGGGATTACTTCTCAGCCTTTTGGCCAAGATCAAGTGTAGTAAAAGTTTAATCTGGAATTTAGTGTAAGATATGGAGTTAGGAGTATAACACTATATATTTTTCCAAATGGAAAACCCATTTTGTTAATACTTTTATTGACTAGGCCAGTTTGTCATACGTATCACTTATTACTCCACTTAGTACAAATGGAATTTTTATGTGTGTTTTGACTAGTTTCTGGACTTTGTATTCTGTTCCATTGTTTTGACTGTGGTGTACAGGCAGTGGTGGGAGAAACTGCTGGCTCCTTGCCTGTCTCGAGGCAGCAGTACCAAATTGCACTGCTGGTCATTGCCTTCCTCATTCTGGCAACAGAGGCTTGGTATTTTAGTTACACTTGCTTTCTAGTGTGCTGTAATGTCTGGAAAGGCAAGTAGGTTCCCCACCCTATCCCTACCCCACCACAACCAACATGACTCATTTCCCTTCCCAGCATTTTCCTGCAATTTCCTTCATGGTTATTCTTCCAGATGAGCTTTAGAATTATTTGTTCAAGTTTTCCCAGGATGTTTTTTTGGAATTTGATTGGAATTGCTTTAAATTTATAGGTAATGTTGGCAATCGTTTACATTTTTATAACATTGAGTCTTCAGGTCCAGAAAAC